CACAACACTATATATAGTCTCATAGGAGTAGGGATGTGCATGGGTCGAATTGAACCGGATTTTTGAAAAATCGAACCAAATTGGTTTAAATGGTTTGTTTCGGAAGTGGTTCGGTTTGGAAGTGGTTCGGTTTTGAAAACGGTTCGGATCGACCCTCTTTTGGAAAGAAAAAAAATTAAATATTTAAAAAATAAAGTTATAAAAATCCATTTGGTTCGATTTGAAAATAGTTCGGTTCGGTTCGGAAACGGTTCGGTTCAAAATGGTTCAGTTCTTAAACTGGTTCTAAAAATCGATTCGGTTCATGAACTGATTCTTTAAAAATCGATTCGGTTCATGAATTGATTCTTTAAAAATCGGTTCGATTCATGAACTGATTTTTAAAAACCAGTTATTTTAAGACGGTTCGGTTCATGATTCGATTCAATTTTTTTGATTATTTTGCACAACCCTAGGACAATGATGTGCATATATTCTTGACCTCCATAATCAGATATGACAAATATATTTGAAGTAATGGTAAAATATAAGAAAATAAAGATGCCCAGTACAGTCTTCTTTTGGGACTTTTTTATGTGCAAAGTTTTTGGTAAGGTCAGAGTATCGAACAATATACTTTTGAACTAAAGAACCGGGATTTGAGTGATTTGTTTATCAACTTTTTTTCATTGAATTTTCATCAACATTATTGGCATGATCATAATCTCAATCATAACCCATATTCCATCACATGACGATACTTTTTGATTTGATTCATGTTTCTCTCGCTATTACGTTGTTGTATAAAATTGTTATTTCAAATAATGACGTGCCCAGAAAAAAAAACCAATAATTCAATATCAATTAATTCATTTGTAGGTAAATCCTTCTTTCGTTAATTTACATAACAAATCAGCAATATTAGCGTTACATTTATTCTAAACTAGTTGAATTTGCTATCGATGAGCCTAAAAATAATAACTGATTAAAACAAAAAAAATTATAAAATTAAAAATAAGGAAATAAAAGATATATAGTAATAGGTATTTCCTTAATCTCTCTCTCACACACATGTAGATATAGATACAGACATATGTACAGAGTTTTTTTTTTTTTCGGAAACATGCAGACATATATACATAGTTGAATTGATGGATATTGGACTGATTTGGTTTGGACCTTAAAGTTTTCAATATTTCAAGTTTGTTTTATTTTAAGAAATCATAAATTTCATATTTTTTTGTTTATACAATGATGGCATCGAGGTTTCGAATTAGGACCCAAATTACACAAATCCCAAATCCCTTATCATTAGACCAATTTTAATATTTTTAAATTCCATTTTCTTTTTGAATATTTAAGTAGAAAAATATTATATTTACAAATTTTTTGTTTATAAACTCTTACAAACTACACTAAGTATGATCGGTTATACTTCAATCAAGAGTGTATGACCGGTCATACTTAGTGTAATTTGTAAATAGATCCTTCCTTATTTAAGTATTATTTATTAATAATTGACTATTTATGAAACATTAATGTTTGATAATAAATTAATCAAACGAATAAAGTCAAGTTGACATTTTAATCTGAGATTAAGTACTTAATGTTAACAGGTAAAAAATTAGTCAGTTAATCAATTAACAGGTAAAAAATAAAATAAAGATAAACATTAAAATAGAGAATATTATGACATTTCAATTTAAATTATTTTATTAAAACAATAATACGAAAAACATCGTCGTCTCTCTCCATGGTTTTTTTTTTTTCACTTCTGTTTTCCTATCGATGACTTGATGAAAAATGAAGGCGACCAGAGTGGCGAAACTCAAATGCTATTTTGCACATTAAACTCTCACAACTCTTCTATGAAGGTTTAGGGTTTGAATTTCATGATCACGTGATCATGAAAGAGATGATATGGTGCAAGGTGAAGGGTGGACAATGACAAAGGATGAAATCTTAAGTGAAGAGTTTGAGAAAAAAAAAACAAAAGATAATTTTTTTATTATTTTAATAAAAATTAATAATGTCATATCATAATCTTGATTTTTTTTATTTTGTTAACAGTGGAATTGATTCTCTTTATCTTCAGAAACGAGGACAAAAAAATTAAAATATTACACTTTTAATAATTAATTACGAATAGATAGTTAAATTGATAGTTCTGCTTTGCATGCTCATATTGCGAATATGAACCAGAAGATAAATTGATAGTTCTTTAATTCTAAAATATAATACAGGCATATGAAATTTTTTATCTTCCAATAAATTTATCATAATTAGTCTTGAAACCAAAATCCTATAAAAAAAAAGTGAATATTCCAGAAACCAAAAAAAAAAAAATTCTAAAAAAAAATTCAAAATAAAATAAAAAAGAAAAAATTCGTACAAGTATTTTTTTTTAAAAAAATATTTAACATAAATATTTTAAATATATATGTAATCAGTCAAGTCTGGCCGGATATAGGCTATCTCGTAGGCTTCTGTAGGCCCGCGTAGCCTGTTTACACCCCTATCAATGACCATCCAACACCTGCATCGTAAAAAGATGTTTGTCATTAAGTATTTTATAGACTATTTTAATGTTTCTCACTACTTTCTACATGAAAAATTGCTAAGCCTATTAGTAATTTTTATTTTTATAGGTAGCCTATTAATAATATTTATTATGAAGTCTATTAGATGGAAAATTATTTAATATTCAAAATTTAAACTTTTTAAATTTGAATTTTGATCTTGAAAGGTGGGAAAAGAGTTCAGCATTTAAAGTTTCTGCAATGGGAGAAAATATATATATATATATATATATATATATATATATTAAATTTAAATTTAATATAAAATTATATATTAAACAAAAAACTATTTAAAATTAAAAAAATATATATGCATAGTTGATAAAAAAAATTAAAGTTGTAATTTAAATGAAAAAATGAGAAATAACATATTTATACTTTAAGAGAAAATAAATTCAAAATATAACTTAACAAATAATACTAAAAAAGGTTTGCGTACAAGGATTTTTGTTTAAAAAAATTAATATAAATGTTTTGAATATATATGTATAACAATAAAAAAAATATAAAATTATAAATTCAAAGATAAAAAATTAAAATTTTAAAAAATGTATAATTAAGACAAAAAAAATTAAATAAGAAAAATGACATCTATCTTTCTGTAAATTTCTGTAAAAAATAAATTATAAAAATTTAATGATTATAAAATTAAATTATCTTTTACTGATCAGTGATTATCTAACTCTTTCATCGTAAAAAGATGTTTGTCATTAAGTATTTTATAGACTATTTTAATGTATATCACTACTTTCTGCATGGTAAATTGTTAAGCTTATTGATAATGATTATTATTATTTCGGGTGGGAAAATATTTCATATTTAAAATTCAAGTTTTTTTAAATTTGAATTTTGAACTTAATGGGTGATAAAAGAGTTCAGCATTTAATGTTTCTGTCGTAAGAAAAATGATATAAATTTAAATTTAATATAAAATTATAGATTAAAAATAAAAATAATTTAGAATTATAAAAATATATGCATAATTGATAAAATATAATTTAAAAGAAAAAAAATAAGAAATAACATATTTATACTTTAAAAGAAACTAAATTAAAAAAAGAAAAAAAAACTTCCTTACAAGTATTTTTAAAATATATATATATATATATATATATAACCAGTATGAAAAAAATATAAAATTATAAATTCAAAGATAAAAAAATTATTTTTTCAAAAAATACGTATCATTAATACAAAAGAATTGAAATTTTGAATTTTGAATTTAAATCGGAAAAATAACTTTTATCATTCTATAAAAAAAATTATAAAAATTTAATCGTTATAAAAATAGATGACCATTTAGTGATCAGTTATCCAGTTATCCATCTCCTGCATGATAAAAAAATATTTGCCCTTAAATATTTTACAGACTATTCTAATGTATCTCACTACAAATTATTTTAATGAAATTTAACTGTCTCAATTCACGGGCGATTGCACAAAAAATTCGAGTTCCTTTTGGATTTCCCTCTTGGTCAATAACAACCGCAGCATTGTCATCATAGTGTATTATCACACCGTTACTGTGTTTGAGTTATTTACCAGTACGTACAATTACAGCTCTGATCACTTCTGATGTCTGCATGACAAAATTTTAAACCTATTAATAATATTAATTATTTTATATATTGGATGAGAAATTATTAAAGGTCAACAAATTAGGTAAAGTGTAGCTTACATTCTAAAAGTACAAGATTCCAACCAAAGAATAGAAAAACAACATCTTGTGCTTACCACAAAATATCCTGCACAATCCACAAGAAACTTGTAGGTAATCCAATGTATTGTTTTTTACTTTAGTTTGTGTTTCCTTTTCTACCCGTTTTTTACGTTAGGCAATCTCAATCCAAGTCTTTTGTGGTTAGAAGACGGGTCAAAGGGGAAAAAAGGGAGAAAAATCTCTGTTCACCATCTCTAATACTAAAGACAAAGGTATGGATAATGATTTCAAACGAAGAATGATCATGTGACCTGTTTAGAAGCAACTTAAGAAAAAGAAAACAAATGGGGTTAAAATTTTAAAGCAACGTAAATAGTCATTAATTCAAATTCAATTTTCCATTTTTTGTCACCATTGAGATTTGAGTCATTGACTATTGACTCCAAGTCTCTAGTCCAATGGAGGTTATCCTTCAACTTCTTATTCCTTTTAACTTTCTCACCTCTTTGTGTTCCAAATTTCTCAAACCCCCTTTGCATTCATTCTTAAGTACCCTTTGTTCCCATTTTCACTTCCACGCTTAAAAAAGTTCTAACCTTTTATTCAGCAGCATCACTTCCCATTTTAAAAGCATTTCTTTTTCTTTCTTTTTTCTTCTCTGCAAATTCAGAAATTTCAGAGTGATTTTGAATCTGGGTTGTGTTTAAATTTTCCAGCTGAAACCAAAAGATTCCTCTTTTATAGAAATTGCCATAGCAATAAGGCTAAGGTAGCAAGAAACAATGGGTGCAAAGTATAAATTTGAGATAACCGGCAATGTCAGGGTGGTAGCTGTAATATTCCTCTGCATGGTGGTTACTATTGTTCTCATACTCCTCAACCACGCAAAATGGCTCAGGTGGCGCATTGAGCAAAGCACTGCTCCTCAACCACGCAACCGCCGCCGCTTTGTCTTTGCCCCTGGTCAAGATCCAGTTACCTATGGCACTAACCGAATTGGTCTTGACCCTGCAGTTCTTAGGTCCTTGCCAGTGTTGGTGTTCCAACAAGAGGACTTCAAAGATGGTTTGGAATGTGCGGTTTGTCTCTCCGAGATTGTTCAAGGTGAAAAGGCTAGGCTTTTACCAAAATGCAATCATGGGTTTCATGTGGATTGCATAGATATGTGGTTCCAATCCCATTCTACTTGCCCTCTTTGTAGGAACCTTGTTGACTCTGAATCCTCTAATAGTGACCCATTCGAGGCAGAAAATTCAGCTACAATGAGTGGCTTAGAGTCTTCAAATTTCCCCACAAATGTGTTAGTTTGGGGAGACCGGACCCAAGTAAGTTCTGTTGGTGTTTCCTTGGAAGAAGGGACTTCTTATCGAACACCTTGCTCTACATCATCATCATCATCATCTTCTTCAGCCAGTGATAGTAGTAATTGTAGATGTCATGGAATGTTGGTGATTGATATACCAAGTGAGTTCAATTCGTCCTCTTTGTCCCCTTCTGCTAGTAGGTGTGATGAAGATGAGATGAAATCACCAATGACAGCTAGACTGAGGTCACTGAAGAGGCTTCTGAGCAGGGACAAAAAGTTAAGTCCTTGTAGTCCTAGTTCTATGGATGTAGAACAAGCGCAGAGCTAGAAATTTGTTAATGGTATTCATTAATTATTTTTAGTAGAGGTCCTCTTGTTGAGAGATATGTTATTTCCCTTCCAAGACTTCTATGTGTAGATAATGGCTAAGGATGCCTACAATATATGTAATGTCTTGTTATACAGTCTTTTTTTTTTAATTTATATATGTGCTTGAACCACATTAAGTGAATGCTTTAAGTGTTTATATTGTATAAATGACAGGTTTCTTTTTAGTAGAAGGGTGGAATGGCCCAGTTTCTTTTTACAGAAGATGAATTTTATAGTATTATTGTTTTAATTTTGATCTTAATTTGCAATCAGCCTGACCCAATACTAATAGTCCAATGTAAAATGAAAAGGGCATCTGGGATTGAATTGTCTCACCACAGTTTGTTAGCAAAAATCTGCATTTAGATGCATTGAAGTAACCCAGTAACTAATGTTTAGTTGAATAGAATTTGAAAACAAACATTTAATCTGTTTTAGCACCAAAGAAGGCGAAAGAGAGGGAGCTAGATAATGCTTTCTTGTATTAATATTAACGTAATTACCAATGTCATTATTCTATGCTAGCTGAAAGATCATCTGCGGTATATATATTATTATTTATATAAAAAAAAGCGCTAATAAACAAGTAGCCATTTCACTATCAATATGGCAGGTAAACTAACGTTTCAAGGGATTCATACCCGACAAAGAAGTCCTTATGACAAATATTCTGTTTGGTTCAGTGGCAGGCACAATCCAATTTTTTTCTCAATCGTGCACACTCTTTTCCTTGCATTCCATTTCTTGGCCAATGCTACGGAATGCCTTTTTAGCCCCTATTGATCCTCTTAATTATGTAAAGCAAAATTTGTAATTATTCACCAATTTAATTGATGTAGCAAATAAGTTAATAATTTAATGAAAAAAATATGTATCCTCATAATGGGCGTTCAAGTAGGCGCATCAACCTCAAGAATGATTTGTGTTAAAATCAACATGTATTTGTCATCTGTCATGTTCTTCAAGACGTATATCACTCTTATGCGCATTCAAATCATCCAATTTTTTCAATCACTGCATAATTGATACGTTTATTGGTAAAAGTTCAATTAGTTAAATATTTAATCACGTTCGAGGTAACCAGTAAATTATTCTTCTATGGTGTCATTGGGACAAATGACAAGTCTGACGGAATTTGCAGACTCAATTTTTTGCACATCTTAAAAATAAATTGGAATTGTACTTTCTGCCCACGTTAATTATCATCGTTGTTGTAAAAAATTAAAGTGAAAATGTAAAAATTTACTTTTTTATATTTTTACTAGAACGGTGAGTGTTAAAATACAAGTAAAAACTTTCCTTGATAAAAATTCGTGTAAAAACGGTAAAAACTACAAAAAAAAAAAAGAAATTAAAAAAAACTCCATTTTCGTTTTCTCCAAATCATATACACAATATCTTGATATCTTTTTGTTTGGATATATGTCTTTTATAATTATGTCTTATAAAGCTGCAATTTTATTGTAAGTTATGCTATGAGAATAGTTTTATATTTTTGGATCATTGTGTGCATTGAAAGAAGTAGAATTATATCTTGATAAGTGATGATCCAAAATCTGCAGAGTGTATGAAACATTTAGAGCAGATTGATTATTCATTACTTGTTACTTGTTAGTTATCACTGTTTATAATTTTGATACTTGGTTATCAAAAAAAATTTTCCTTTTTAGATAGATAAGTGGATCAACACACAGGTTTATTATGTGATTTTTTTTACATGCATATATATATATATATATATATATATATATATATATATATAATTTTGTATCTTGACCTTAAGTAATAGAAAGTAAAAACTTTATGTTTCGTGTCGTTTTTACGTTTTACGTTTCTACCACCCTTTCCGTTTCTACGCAGAAACTCGAGTTTGACAACATTAGTTATCACTTCAATTCGATTATCATTTTTTCTTTTTTTAGTAAATTATATGTAAACTCATTATAAATCATCAATCTATTCAGAGTATAAAAGGTTTTACATTTTTATTTAATATCTCGTTTTTACCTCTTAATAAATTTTATTTTATATAATTAATTAATTATTGATATAGTTAAATTTATAAAATTAAATTATAATGATAAAAAATCTATACTAATAACATTAAGCCAATCGTTTAAAGTGTTTATATGGTATATATGACAGGTTTCTTTATAGCAGAAAGGGAGAATGGCTGAGTTTTTTTTTTAAAAAAGAAGATGAATTTTATAGTACCATTTTAATTTTGTTATTTATTTGCAATTAGCCTCGGTACTAATAATCCAAATTAAAGCAAAGAATAGAACCTGATCAGTCCAGTATAATATGGGCGGGTCAATATGGACTGTGTCAAATCACATACAGTTGAAGAGTGAAGACTTTGGGTTAGGTGAAGTGCTTTTTGGGCTAATGATATCTGCTTTGGGGTTAATTGATGTTGAGCTCCCTTTGGCGCGATGGCTCTGGCTGGAGGTACCCTGTAATGACACTCCAACGCTCAAGTCAGTATCAAAGTCAGACTTATATTATGTTCTTATTTGAAATTAGATTGATGTACCTAGAGTGTACCTCTTGCTTATATAGCAAGTCTCATGCCGCCTTTAGTAGTTAGTACGCCTTCTGATTGGTTGTTCCTGAGCTGCAGACTTATTTGTCTCAGCTGGTGCCTCTCTGGCTATACTTCTATATGATGGGCTGCCTTATTAGAGTAGTGGCAAGTTGGAGTTGTCATTCGTGTATTGATTTATAGCGCGGTGGTTTTTAGTTTGATATAGGATCCTTCCTTAGTCTGTAAGTTATATAAGGCGGTTAGGCACAATGAAACAATTACGCTTTTAGATTTTTATGTACGATGGGGACATTGCGCCTTTCACCGGGCCTGTATGTTTCTGGGCTTTAACCCTTTGTGGTAGTTTATCCAAATTTATCCATATCAGAACCCAAAATGAAGGAAGAAAATGATAGGAAAAAGCAATATAGATTAAGAGAGTTTGGAAATTAGTGAGAATCATATGACAATGTAAATGGAAATTTTTTGTTTAGTTTACTGATTAAGTGAGATAAAAAATAACACCCTTATAACTAAAATCTCTCTATCGTGGCTTGTTTGTTACTGCTGTTTTATCAATACTCTCTTCATTTAAGCATTTCTATAATTTGTTACTTAAAAATGTTTTGAAAATTGATACAAGAGTGAGGTTTCGGAACAAGTGTGACATGCAAGAATGAATTTGGAACAAGAAACTAGGATAACTTTTTCTGAATTTTGTTTTCCTCAATCAAATCGAACAAGAATCAAATATAAATCATATTCAAAGTCAAAAATATAAAAAAGTTCATCTCACAAAAGTCTGTTTTACTACATTTGTTCACTCATTTTTGTAACAGAAAATTAATAAGTCTTTCTCTCCGAAGCTTGTGTCACCAGAATTTGCAAATATGATAATGATTCACAGAGTTAAGCAACCCCATAAAGGGGGCCATAGTTGTGCATAGCACAAGGGCTGTTTTGTTGGTGGAGAGATGTGTAAGGTATCTCCCTCTCTTCTGTCTTTGTGGGTTTGAACAGATTTGTTAGAGGCCCTGAAGTTGGAAGCCAGTGCTTCCTATCAGCACCTTTGTAGGATTTATATATTGGACCAGAAACCTGACCCTGCCTTTTCCTAGAAACCTTTGATTTTGAATCGTTGGTTGGTTCTTCTCTATGCTTGCTTTTCTTGTCAACTTTCCACCATGAAATCAGAGAACTTTTCCATGATTTCTTTCCCTTTTTCTCTTTATCCGATCCTGTTTTGCCAGATTCTTCAGGATGCACTGATGAATTCTTTAGTTTTGCTGCGCTTCCAAGTTGCCTTGCTTCCTCCAAGAACTAGTCAAAGCAAAAAAAAAAACAAAAAAACAAAAAAATAACCATCATAGGAGCAAATGGAAAAGACTTATTATACTAAGATAAGGGACATGTTGATGTTTGTAACTACTTAGATGTTGATCGGTCAGGTTCTAGTGTTCTACTTCAAAAGAGAGAACTTACATGATCAAAATATAAATGAAAACCATCCAAATAAAACATCAAATGCAGAAGTCTTGAGCTACTTTTTATTATCAATTGGAGCATATTTGTTGAAATCTTCAATATGCAATATCACATAATCACACAATATCACATACAAACTTTAATAACTACAAACAATTTCATTAACTATGCCGAAAACCAACAATCAAGTATTTAGTACCAGGGAAAAGTCCTCTTGCAGATCAAATCCATAGTCATCATAATGGCTTGCCTCATATTTTGGTGGTGTTGAAGATTTCTTCACCATTATCAACCAAAAAAACCCCACAAACTTGAGCAGAACAGAAATGCCAAATAGAAGACCTCGAGAGAAAGAGAAGCTTGATGGAATATACTGGCTTGGATCACAAAAGGCAAAGTTCAACAACTCCTCATAAAGATATATCACAATCAAAGGGTCAGTTGTGGAGATGACAGAAACTATGGTAGTTGAAATGGCATTGCAGTTTTAGGCTTTTCATTCACATTTTCCTATGAAGGAGTTATTGGCGTGAATTAGAAGGTGCATTCATATAGGAATTAATTGTCTTATATAACATAGTACATCAAATCCAGACTCACCACCACACCAAATTGTTAGGCTAATAATGTCAATAAGAAAATGGTAAATTTTTTTAAAAAAAGACAACAGAATGAAATCCACTCATATACTATAAATTAAACTTACCTCCCAATGCAGAATTGAAAAATAAGGAACCAATTGGAGAAAATATTTGGTTTTTTAAGGAACCAAGCATCCTAATATCCTTAACAAGGGGTGGGTAAACATCGTTATGATATAACAAATTATTTCCTCTCCTGGGACCATGTTTAATCATTCCATTTCACTTTACCTTAGCTTTTTAATGGAAAAAAATAGCTTTACTCGAAATAATTATTTCTACTCATCTAGAATTAATACTACAAAACAAACAGAAATAATGATAATTTAAAAAATGAAAAGAATTTAAAAGAGGAGAGAGGGAGAGGGAATGAAATCAAACTAGAATTTCACTTTGATGCATATCTTTATTATATATAGTGTTAGTTTATTTTCTTAAAAAAATAATAATATTGTACATAAAAAATGTACGAAAGTGTACTAAAGAAAATTATTTTACCTTCAAAAAGTGAAGAATTTGGCCAATGAAAGTTGACTCCCCGTAAAATAGAATTTAGATATTCGCTATAGTGGGTAGCAAGTAAAAGCTTCAATTTTCGGTTGACTCATCTTTAATCTAAAAAAAAAAAAAAAAAAAATTGGGTAAAAGGAAAATATAAAAGGTTAACACCTCAAGTTAAAATTATACCATCAATTGCCTTAATGAATAATGAGGAAGATGAATCATTTTGTCCAAGAATATATTTTGACTTTTATTATTATTTCATCCAATTCAACCCCCAAATTATGTCCAGAAAACGCGTTTAAAATGGCCATGATTGCTGGTATAATGGTACCCTTCTTCCATGTCTCACTCTATAAACAGAAAATTTTAAAGATCATGCATAAAGTTTAGTTTCATAATATTTATATTCAGTTTGGATCTTTTCACATGTCAAGCAATATATGATAATTAATTTATATTGATTGTTTATTTTGATATATATAATATTAAATATATATATATATATATATATATATATATATATGGTAAAATCATTTCTCCAGCCGCTATACGTACAACAACGATGGGTATAATGGGTTTAGATATTTTTAGGCTATGACTCATCAATTGCCTTAGTTGATGGGTTAATGGGTCTTGGGTTTAGATATTTTTAGGCTATGATTAGGAAAATACCCAAGTAGGTAAAGGAAAATTAATATATTGGATCGGTTTGGATTGGATCGGTTTTCATCAACCCATCCAAAAACCGATCCAATCCAATTAAAATTTGCGATTTTTAATCGGTTTTTGATTTTTCGATTTTCAGTTTATTCGGTTATCAGTTTTTCGGTTCGGTCACCGCGGTTTGAATCGGTTTGGATCGGTTGATGAACACCCCTATATATATAGGAAAAACATATATCCTTTTAAAGGATATAAGTTTATATCCTTTTAGATCCTAACCGTTGATTTCCGTCCATCAACGGTTATAATCTATTGGGCCAAACTTAATGGGCCAAATTTATTATTAATTAATTAATAATTTTAATCCAATAAATTATAACCGTTGATGGACGGAAATCAACGGTTAGGATCTAAAAGGATATAAGTTTATATCATTTAAAATGATAGATGTTATTCCGATATATATATATGAAAAAATAGTTTGTCATATGATTGGATATAAGGTTTTGTTAGGTCAAATATTTTGTAATTGGGTTTACTTTTTCTGCAGTTACTCCAGATAAATTATCTGCAGTAAGCCCAATATGACGTCGTTTTGGGGCGGAAATCATGGTGTTTTTGTAATTTTAATTTATTTTAGAGTTATAATAGTCTTTATATTTATAATTTTTTAAGATTTCAATATTAAAACGACGTCGTTTTGAGAATAAATGCAGATAACTTATATGCAGTAATTTCAGAAATATTTTTCCCTTTTAAATTATGTATTACGGGTAGTACATACTACTATGTACTACCCGTAATATATAGTTATAATTTTTTGACGAGACAAAACTTTATGTTAAGTAACATGACATTCACTTAATACTATATATATATAGGAGTTTGCATTCATCATTTAACATGACCACACAAAGTTTCCTACACACACAATATTTTGTGGGACCTGCATGTATTGAAGAAAAAAGAAAATTATGGCACGCAAAACGAATCTCTGTAACATAACACAATCATTTTTCCTACAACATAACTCTTATAAAACCCATATATATAGAGAGAGATAATTACAATGATAATTTAAATGATATCAAATTTAAGATAAATTAGTTCTTTTTAAACTCTTTTTGTTATCTATTGATAAATCCGATTTTATCACAACACTATATATAGTCTCATAGGAGGACAATGATGTGCATATATTCTTGACCTCCATGATCAGATATGACAAATATATTTGAAGTAATGGTAAAATATAAGAAAATAAAGATGTCCAGTACAGTCTCCTTAATTTTGGGACTTTTTTATGTGCAAAGTTTTTGGTAAGGTCGGGGATAGAACAATATATTTTTGAACTAAAGAACCGGGATTTGAGTGATTTGTTCGTCAACTTTTTTTCATTGAATTTTCATCAACATTATTGGCATGATCATAACCTAAATCATAACCCATATTCCATTCATGCATTTAACGATACTTTTTTGATTTGATTCATGTTTCTCTCGCTACTACGTTTTGTATAAAATTCTTATTTCAAATAATGACGTGCCAAGAGAAAAAAACCAATAATTCAATATCAATTAATTCATTTGTAGGTAAATCCTTCTTTCGTTAATTTACATAACAAATCAGCAATATTGACGTTACATTTATGCTAAACTAGTTGAATTTGCTATCGATGAGCCTAAAAATAAAATAAAATAACAAATAACAGATTAAAAGAAAAAATTATAAAAATAAAAATGAAATTAAAAATAAGGAAATAAAAGACATATATAGTAATAGGTTTTTCCTTAATCTCTTTCACACACACATATAGATATAGATATCGACATATATACATAGTTGAATTGATGGATATTGGACTGATTTGGTTTGAACCTTAAAGTTTTCGAGATTTCAAATTTCATTTATATTTTTATTTTATACAACGGTGACATTAGGGTTTCGAATTATAACCTTATGTAAACTACACAAATCCGACTAGACCAATCATAATACCTTTAAATTTTATTTTATTTTTGGCTTTTTAAGTATTATTTATTAATAATTGATGATTTATGAAACATTAATGTGTTACAGGTTTTTTATTTTTATTATTTTATTATTATTTTATGAATTGTTGGTTTGTTTAAATAGTGAGTTGTGGGTAGTTATTTTATTTGTTTTGTTATTTGAATTTCAACTTTAGATATTAACTATTAGTGGAGCCTATATAGTGTTAGTGGGTAGTTACTTTGTTGGCTTGAAATATTTGAATGAATATCATCAGAAGAATTATTTGAAAAAAACACTTTGTGCAAGAGGTCGAGCTTCCTCGGTAAAGTCATTTGAGGCTAGGCTTCTTCAATAAAGCCAAATTCAATTTTTATTTATTTTGTCCGTAACAATTGGTATCAGAGCCAGGCACAAACACCACGCATGGAGAAACAATTGGAAAGACTGGAAGACGTGATTCTGTCTTTGGCGAAACAATTCAAGGAGATGCTTACCAAACTCTCCAATCGGCTAGATGCTCTAGTATCAACCACCAAACTATCCCAATTCCATTGTTCTTATTTCAAACCTGAGACTTCCAGACTCAAACATTTATCTCTTTCTTTCTCCACCAAACGAGCAACTCCCTTCAACACTACCATTAAAAATTTAAATACTGTCAAAGTATCTCAATCAAATAATGCCCCTCAACCAAGACCCCACTTTTGTTTAGACATGGGATATCCAATAAGAAATTAAATTCTAAAATTCTTTGAGAAGAAGAAAGAAAGAGTTGTGGCGAGGACAAAGAAGAGGGGGACATGGATATTGAAGATGATTCAATTACTTGATCTTGATTTTACTCTTGAGGACAAGAATAATCTTTAGGGGGAGAGAATGTTACAGTTTTTTTATTTTTATTATTTTATGAATTGTTGGTTTGTTTAAATAGTGGGTTGTGGGTAGTTATTTTGTTTGTTTTGTTATTTGAATTTCAACTTTAGGCATTTACTATTAGTGGAGCCTATCTAGTGTTAGTGGGTAATTACTTTGTTGGCTTGTATTATCTATTTAAACCTTAAAATATTTGAATAAAGATCATCAGAAGAATAATTTGAAAAAAAAACACTTTGCGCAAGAGGTCAGCTTCCTCGGTAAAGCCATTTGAGGTCAGGTTTTCTCAGTAAAGCCATTCAAGGTCAGGCTTCTTCATAAAAGCCAGAATTCTCATTTTTATTTATTGTGTTCCAAAATTCTCATTTTTATTTATTGTGTTCTTGTAACAATTGGTATCAGAGCCAGGCACAAACACCACGCAAGGAGAAAAACAACACGAATGAAAATTTGGCTTTACTGAGGAAACCTGACCTCAAATGGCTTTACTGAGGAAGCTTAACCTCAGTAATTCTTATGATGATCTTTATTCAAATACTTCAAGGTTTAACTAGATAATACAAGCCAACAAAATAACTACTCACTAACACTAGATAGGCTCCACTAATAGTTAATACCTAAAGTTGAAATTCAAATAACAAAACAAACAAAATAACTACCCACAACCCACTATTTAAACCAACCAACAATTCATAAAATAATAATAAAATAATAAAAATAAAAAACTGTAACATTCTCTCCCCCTAAAAATTACTCTTGTCCTCAAGAGTAAAATCAAGATCAAGTAATTGAATCATCTTCAATATCCATGTCCCCCTCTTCTTTGCTGTTGATTGGAAAATGTCCTCGCGCCACAACTCTTTCTTTCTTCTTCTCAAAGAATTTTAGAATTTAATTTCTCATTGGATATCCCATGTCTAAACAAAAGTGGGGTCTTGGTTGAGGGGCATAATTCGATTGAGATACTTTGACCGTATTTAAATTTTTAATGGTAATGTTGAGGGGAGTTGCTCGTTTGGTGGAGAGAAAAAGAGATAAATGTTTGGATGTGGAAGTCTCAGGTATGAAATAAGAACAATGGAATTGGGATAGTTTGGTGGTTGGTACTAGAGCATTTAGCCGATTGGAGAGTTTGGTAAGCATCTCCTTGAGTTGTTTCGCCAAAGACAGAATCTCTTCTTCCACCAGGCTTTCCAATCGTTTATGAACACAATAAATAAAATTGGGGATTTGATTTTATTGAGAAGTCTAACCTCTTGCACAGTGCTCTTTTTCAAATAATTCTTATGATGATCTTTATTCAAATACTTTAAGGTTTAAATAGATAATACAAGCCAACAAAGTAACTATCCACTAACACTAGATAGGTTCCACTAATAGTTAATACCTAAAGTGTTGAAATTCAAATAACAAAACAAACAAAATAACTACCCACTATTTAAACGAAGGGAAAAATATTTGTCCTTTTAAATGACATAACTTGTGTCATTTCACTCTCACAAAGAGGTGGACCCACACCTTTATATTTTTTTTGTCCATTCTCTTTCTTCCTTTATCTAGCTCTTTCTCTCACTTAAAATGACACAACTTTACATCCTTACACACTTTTCCCTTAAACAAATCGACAATTAACAGGCTCCACTATTATTTTTAATGTTAAAAAATTTATAATAAATTCCTCATAAATCGACCCTAATTAAGTTAGTCTAGTTAAAAAACTTAACATTAAGTACTTTTATTTTTGGTAGAGATAATATTACGTACTTAATCTCACATTAAAAGGTCAACTTGACTTTATTCGTTTACTTAATTTATTATCAAGAATCAATTAAGAGGTAAAAAATAAAATAAAGGTAAACATTGAAATAGAGAAGATTATGACATTTCAGTTTAAATTATTTTAATAAAATAATAAGGGGAAAGATATTGTAACAATCAAGTTGTGTTACTACCATGTTACTACCAATCAATTTTACCGTTAGATCGATTATATTGATCAAATAGTTATATTTATTTTCATCTTTGTATGGTCATGATTCTCCATATTTAAAGTAAAAGTATTAAATATGAAAAATCATAATCATACAAAGGTGAAAATAAATATGAAGTATTAAATTTGGGAAATCACAACTATACAAAGATAAAAATAAATGTAACCGTTGGATCAACATAATTGATCTAACGATGAGATTGATTGGTAGTTGGTTGTTCCAATATCCTTTCCCAAATAATAATACTAAAAACATCGTCTCTCCATTTTTTTTTCTTTTCTGTTTTCCTTTATCGATGACTCGATGAAAAATGAAGGCGACCAGAGTGGCCAAACTCAAATGCTATTTTGCACGTTAGACGCTCACAAATCTTCTATGAAGGTTTAGGGTTTGAATTTCATGATCATGACGCATCTCTTAAAACTGGTCTTCAAGGCGGCTTTCACACGAGAAAGAGATGATGTGGTGCAAGGAGAAGGGTGTACAATGACAAAGGATGAAATTTCAAGGGAAGAGTTTGAGAAAAAACAAAAGATAAAATTTTAATTATTTTAATAAAAATTAATAATGTGATATCATAATCTTGATTTTTTTTTATTTTTGGTAGCATTGGAATTGATTCACTTTATCCTCTGAAACGAGGAGTCAAAACTATTTAATAAAGTTAAATTAGTAACAACAATTCTCTAATATAAATAGTGTTAGGATTCGGGGAATATTATATTGATAAATTTATTTTCTTACAAACTACACTAAACTGATTATACACTCTTGATTAAAATATGACTAGTCAAACTTAATGTAGTTTGTAAGTTTGTAAGAAAAAAAATTTGTCACTATAACTTCCCCCTTCAAGAAATATAAATATATAATAGAAGTATCCTTAAATTAAATAAAATCTAATACACTCTTATTCATTTTTAAAATCAATTCAATTTAAAAAAGTTATCCATAATTTTTTGTAAATGTCCGACAGCAGTCATGTGAACGTAGTTTAAAATATGTAGTAGATGAATGTCTTCATTATTTTAGATTATTTAATACAATCCAAAAGTAATCATATGGTCAAATTTTAAAAGCTTTTTAGTTTAAAGGTCGACAAATTAGGTAAAGTGTAGCTTACATTCTAAAAGCACATGATTCCAAAGAATAGAAAAACAACATCTTGTGCTTACAGCAAAATATCCTGCACAATCTGCAAGAAACTTGTAGGTAATTCAATGTATTGTTTGTTACTTTAGTTTGTGTTTCCTTTTCTACCCGTTTTTTACGTTAGGCAATATCAATCTAAGTCTTTTGTGGTTAGACGGGTCAAAGGGAGAAAAATCTCTATGTTTACCAAGTCTAATACTAAGACAAAGGTATGGATGATGATTTCAAACGAAGAATAACATGTGACCTTTTTAGAAGCAACTTAAGAAAAAGAAAACAAATGGGGTTAAAATTTTAAAGCAATCTTCTTCTCTCTCTCTCTTTTTTTTTTTGAGGTAAATAGTCATTAATTCAAATTCAATTTTACATTTTTTGTCACAATTGAGTCATTGACTATTGACTCTAATGCCGTCTCCTTTTGTTCTAAAGTCCAAGTCTCTAGTCCAATGTGGAGGTTATCCTTTGAACTTTCTCACCCCCTTGCATTCTTAAGTACCCTTTGTTCCCATTTTCACTTCCTCACTTTAAAAGTTCTAACCTTTATTCAGCAGCATCACTTCCCATTTTAAAAGCATTTCTTTTTCTTTTTCTTTCTTTTTTCTTCTCTGCAAATTCAGAAATTTCAGAGTGATTTTGCTTCTGGGGTGTGTTTAAATCTTGCAGCTGAAACCAAAAGATTCCTCTTTTATAGAAATTGCCATAGCATAAGGCTAAGGTAACAAGAAACAACATGGGTGCAAAGTCAGGGTCAAGTGACACATTTGGTGAGTCTGATAAATTTGAGATAACCGGCAAGATCGTGGTGGTAGCTGTGATATTCCTCTTCATGGTGGTTACTTTTGTTCTCATACTCCATCTCTATGCAAAATGGTTCTGGTGGCGCATTGAGCAAAGCACTGCTCCTCAACCACGCAACCGCCGCCGTCGCCGCCGCTTTGTCTTTGCCCCTGGTCAAGATCCAGTTACCTATGGCACTAACCGAATTGGTCTTGACCCTGCAGTTCTTAGGTCCTTGCCAGTGTTGGTGTTCCAACAAGAGGACTTCAAAGATGGTTTGGAATGTGCAGTTTGTCTCTCCGAGATTGTTCAAGGTGAAAAGGCTAGGCTTTTACCAAAATGCAATCATGGGTTTCATGTAGATTGCATAGATATGTGGTTCCAATCCCATTCTACTTGCCCTCTTTGTAGGAACCTTGTTGACTCTGAATCATCTAATAGTGACCCTTTAGAGGCAGAAAATTCAGCTACAATGAGTGGCTTAGAGTCTTCAAATTTTCCCACAAATATGTTAGTTTGGGGAGACCAGACCCAAGTAAGTTCTGTTGGTGTTTCCTTGGAAGAAGGGACTTCTCATCAAACACCTTGCTCTACATCATCAACATCATCTTCTTCTTCTTCTTCTTCAGCCAGTGATAGTAGCAATTGTAGATGTCATGGAATGTTGGTGATTGATATACCAAGTGAGTTCAATTCGTCCTCTTTGTCCCCTTCTGCTAGTAGGTGTGATGAAGATGAGATGAAATCACCAATGACAGCTAGACTGAGGTCACTGAAGAGGCTTCTGAGCAGGGACAAAAAGTTAAGTCCTTGTAGTCCTAGTTCTATGGATGTAGAACAAGCGCAGAGCTAGAAATTTGTTAATGGTATTCATTAAATTTTTTTAGTAGAGGTCCTCTCGTTGAGAGATATGTTATTTCCCTTCTAAGACTTCTATGTAGATAATGGCTAAGGATGCCTGCTATATATATAATGTCTCGTTATACAGTCATTTTTTTTTTAAATTTATGTATGTGCTTGAACCACATTAAAGTGAATGGTTTAAGTGTTAATATTGTATAAATGACAGGTTTCTTTTTAGTAGAAGGATGGAATGGCCCAGTTTCTTTTTACAGAAGATGAATTTTATAGTATTATTGTTTTAATTTCGATCTTAATTTGCAATTAGCATGACCCAATACTAATAGTCCAAAGTAAAAATGAAAATGGCATCTGGGATTGAATTGTCTCACCACTGTTTGTTAGCAAAAATCTGCATATAGGTGCATTGAAGTAACCCAGTAACTAATGTTTAGTTGAATAGAATTTGAAAACAAACATTTAATCTGTGTTAGGCTCTTAGCACCAAAGAAGGCGAAAGAGAGGGAGCTAGATAATGCTTTCTTATATTAATATTAACGTAATTACCAATGTCATTATTCTATGCTAGCCGAAATATCATCTGAGGTATATATATTATTAAAAAGAAAAAGAAAAAGCGCTAATAAACAAGTAGCCATTTCACTATCAATATGGTAGATAAACTAATGTTTCAAGAGATTCATACCCGACAAAGAAGTCCTTACGACAAATATTCTGTTTGGTTCAGTGGCAGGCACAATCCAATTTTTTTTCCTCAATGGTGCACTCTTTTCCTTGCATCCCATTCCATGCCCAATGCTACGGATGCCTTTTTAGCCTCTATTGTTGATCTTTTAGGGCTTTTTCATCATGTAAAGCAAAATGCATAATTATTCATCAATTTAATTCTTTTAGCAAATAATTTATTAATTTCATGAAAAAATATTTATTTTGATAATGCACATTTAAGTAGCACATTAACTGCAACCGTGACATACAAAATCAACATGTACTTGTCATATGTTGTTGCGCTCTTGAGAACGCATATCACTCTAGTACACATTTAGAGGGCGTTTGGTACAGGAAAAAAAAAATTTAGCTGGAAATCTCAATTTTCAAAAATATAATTTTTACAGTTTATGATAATATCCGTAAATTTAAAATTTAGAAAAATTCAGTTTTCCAAGACTCTTCAAGAATTCCGTGTACCAAACACCGCCATAAGTCACTTATTTTTTCATGCGCGTCTTGCATGTGTGACGGATGACAGGTACACTCACTTTTTACATAAATTGTAGAATTAAACGTCAATGTACATCTTTTGGCATTAAGTTAATAAATTATTTGTCAAAATAATTATACCGATAAATAATTATATATTTCCGCTTAGATGGGTAAAAAAAAAAAACATCCTTTAGGCCATTCTCCATAGCCAGTCATCCCCCATTTTGAGAGTAGTAGTCACACCCTCCAAGTAAGGGAAATATTTTATAAGGTCCAGGATCATTGAATCTTTTGGTGCTCCCTCTCACAACATTAATTTTTTCTTTATTTTTTTATCCTTATTATTTTATCTCTTTTTCAATTTTACCCTCCTATTTACACTAAGGAACCACCTAAAAATGATGGTCCGGTTCATATTAAATAATCTCCCAAGTAAGTGGTTTATAGTTCGTACTCATCACTAGTGGGAGGGGTCAATCACTGCATAATTGATACGTTTATTGGCAAAAGTTCAATTAGTTAAATATTTAATCACGTTCGAGGTAACCCGTAAATTATTTTTCTATGCTGTCATTGGGACAAGTGGCAAGTCTGACGGAATTTGCATACTCGATTTTTTTGCACATCTTAAAAATCAATTGGAATTGTACTTTCTGCCCACTTTAGTTATCACTTGAATTCGATTATCTATTTTCCTTTTTTTTAGTAAATTATATGTAATCTCATTATAAATCATCAATCAATTCAAAGTATTGATATAGTTAAATATATAAAATTAAATTATAATGATAAAAAATCTATAACTAATAACATTAAGCCAATCGTTTAAAGTGTTTATATTGTATAAATGACAGGTTTCTTTATAGCAGAATGGGAGAATGACTGAGTTCTTTTTTACAGAAGATGAATTTTATAGTACCATTGTTTTAATTTTGTTCTTTATTTGCAATTAGCCTGACTGAAGAATAGAACCCAAAATGAAGGAAGAAAATGATAGGAAAAAGCAATATAGCTCAAGAGAGTTTGGAAATTAGTGAGAATCATATGACAATGTATATGGAAATTTTTTGTTTAGTTTACTGATTAAAAAATAACACCCTTATAACTAACATATCTCTATTGTGGCTTGTTTGTTACTGCTGTTTTATCAATACTCTCTTCATTTAAGCATTTCTATAATTTGTTACTTAAAAAATGTTTTGAAAATTGATACCAGAGTGAGGTTTTGGAACAAATGTGACATGCAAGAATGACTTTGGAACAAGGAACTAAGATAATCTGAAATTTTGTTTTCCTCAATCAAATCCAACAACAAGCAAATATAAATCATATTAAAAGTCAAAAATATAAAAAAAGTCTGTTTTATTACATTTGTTCACTCATTTTTGTAACAAAGTCTTTCTCTCCGAAGCTTGTGTCACCAGAATTTGCAAATATGATAGTGATTCACACAGTTAAGCAACCACATAAAGGGGGCCATAGTTGTGCATAGCACAAGGGCTGTTTTGTTTGTGGAGAGATATGTAAGGTATCTCACTCTCTTCTGTCTTTGTGGGTTTGAACATATTTGTTAGAGGCCCTGAAGTTGGAAGCCAGTGCTTCCTATCAGCACCTTTGTAGGATTTATATATTGGACCAGAAACCTGACCCTGCCTTTTCCTAGAAACCTTTGATTTTGAATTGTTGGTTGGTTCTTCTCTTTGCTTGCTTTTCTTGTCAACTTTCCACCATGAAATCAGAGAACTTTTCCATGATTTCTTTCCCTTTTTCTCTTTATCCGATCTTGTTTTGCCAGATTCTTCAGGATGCACTGATGAATTCTTTAGTTTTGCTTCGTTTTCATGTTGCCTTGCTTCCTCCAAGAACTAGTCAAAGCAAAAAAAAAAAAAATAAGAAACAAAAATAACCATCATAGGAGCAAAAGGAAAAGACTTATTATATAAAAATAAGGGACATGTTGAGGTTTGTAACTACTCAGATGTTGATCGGTTAGGTTCTACTTCAAAAGAGAGAACTTACATGATCAAAATATAAATTGAAAACCATCCAAATAAAACATCAAATGCAGAAGTCTTGAGCTAATTTTTATTACCAATTGGAGCATATTTGTTGAAATCTTCAATATGCAATATCACATAATCACATAATATCACACATACAAACTTTATTAACTACTAACAATTTCATTAACTATGCCGAAAACCAACAATCAAGTATTTAGTACCAGGGAAAAGTCCTCTTGCAGATCAAATCCATAGTCATCATAATGGCTTGCCTCATATTTTGGTTGTGTTGAAGATTTCTTCACCATTATCAACAAAAAAAACCCCACAAACTTGAGCAGAACAGAAATGCCAAATAGAAGACCTCGAGAGAAAGAGAAGCTTGATGGAATATACTGGCTTGGATCACAAAAGGCAAAGTTCAACAACTCCTCATAAAGATATATCACAATCAAAGGGTCAGTTGTGGAGATGACAGAAACTCAGGTTGTTGAAATGTTATTGCAGTTTTAGGCTTTTCATTCACATTTTCCTATGAAGGAGTTATTGGCGTGAATTAGAAGGTGCATTCATATAGGAATTAATTGTCTTATATAATATAGTACATCAAATCCAGACTCACCACCACACCAAATTGTTAGGCTAATAATGTCAATAAGAAAATGGTAAAAAAAAATTTTAAAAAAGACAACAGAATGAAATCCACTCAGATACTATAAATTAAACTTACCTATCAAGGCAGAATTGAAAAATAAGGAACCAATTGGAGAAAATATTTGGTTTTTTAAGGAACCAAGCATCCTAATATCCTTAACAAGGGTTGGGTAAACATCATTATGATATAACAAATTATTTCCTCTCCTGGGACCATGTTTAATCATTCCATTTCACTTTACCTTAGCTTTTTAATGGAAAAAAATAGCTTTACTCGAAATATTATTTCTACTCATCTCGAATTAATACTACAAAACAAACGGAAATAATGATAATTTAAAAAATGAAAAGAATTTAAAAGAGGAGAGAAGGAGAGGGAATGAAAATCAAACTAGAATTTACTTTGATGCATATCTTTATTGTAGTGTTTGAGTTTATTTTCTTAAGAAAATAACATTATACATAAAAAAATGTACGAAAGAGTACTAATGAAAATTATTTTACTTTCAAAAAGTGAAGAATTTGGCCAATGAAAGTTGACTCCTGGTAAAATAGAACTTTAGTAAACACAGATCTTCAGTGCCGTTAGTAAATGGACTCTTAATAAATCTTCAAATATTCTCTTAATTATTTTCAATTTTAAACAAGGAAAAAACGTTTATCATTTTAATTGACACAATAAATATAATGTGTTTTGGTGATTTTTTATCTTCTATTTTTTTCGCAATATTTTCTTTTTCTTTTTCCTCTTAATTTTATGAAAGAGAGAATATAAAAAATTATTCAATATTCATCAAAACACATTATTTGTCATTTTAAAGTACACATTTTTGTGACAATTATAAATTAAACAACTTTATTTTTATGGGTTTTTTTATTTTTTTCTCACTTCCATTGTACGTTTTCTTTCTCTTTGCTTCTAATTTTGTAAAAGAGAAAGAATATAAAAAATTATGAAACACAATCATTTCATTTAGAGTGACATAAAATTATATTCTTTAAAATTACTATACTTTTCCTTTACAATATTCAATAGAAATAAAATCATCTAAAAGCATTTGATGTTTTTTTAACGAAATTTAAAAAGATTATTTTGAATTATTATTTTATGAAATTAATAAAAGCTGTATAACAACTTTTTGGCATTGGGATCGGCGAATAATACATGGGTGTGTCAATTATGCCGCATGTTTCGGAGTGTATTAGGCTTTCACTTGGGATGGGAGGGAGGGAACATAAGTATGTAGAACATCATTAAGTTTTGACATTGATTTTGCAGAAATGTCATACAACAATTTTCTAAATTATGTTTTTAACACTTTTTTTAAATGTTAAGAAAAATTTCATGCAAATTTGATTAATAGAGAATGAATCTAAATTATTTAATAAAAAATATATGAAATTTTAGGTAGTCATTAAAAAGTGTTAAAGGCAGAATATAAAAAAAATGTATAAAAAAAAAATGTACATACCCACTCGGGTTAGCCTAGTGGTATGGGGTGTGTGTTATTAGGAATGTGTGTAGTGTAGGGTGCTGTGTTCAATTCCTTGTAACCTCAAAAAGAAAAAAAAAAATGTACATTCCTCTTTGTTTTTTATCATTGAATTTTATATGTGTTTTCTGGTATGCAATGACTGAGAACAAAAGGTTGCTCCAATCCTACCTAGACAAATTAATAACTTATTTGATAAAAGCTAAATTCACGTAAATATGAGGCATTTAAATAAATAAAATCCAACAAGATCTATAAAAAGTTCGACATAAAAAATTAGAAACATACAATAAAAAAAATACCGTGAAAATAATGATGTAACAATGTTTATGAGATCATGGAGGCAAGAATTATTATGCCAATTTCATTTTTAAAATAACGGTTTAAATTTATTCTAATTTTACATTTTTAGAAAAAGTAGAAATTTTTATTAGAATTGGCCAGAACCGGAAATGAGAATTACAACAGAAATACTACAGAATTCTACAAAAAAATGTAGGCATATTCTAATTTTAGCTTTTCACTTTCTAAAGAACACACATATCTATTGAATGCAGCAAAATTTTACTGCGAATTAACGTTTGTGGTTTAATCAAATAAAATTTACCCATTATGTAGAATGGAGACCATATCCAAGCAGCATATGTAGTGTATTTACCAACACACACTACCAGAAGTCTAAAAACATATTTAGAGGAACATCACTAAGTATCAAGCATGTAACTTAGCATTCACAACCAAGAAGCTGACAACATAGACACAAAAGGAGTAAAATCATCCCAGAGATTTAACGCAGCCTCCATGTTCACCATTTGTCTATACAAATCCTGTTAGACATGACAAAAACTAAGCAGAACATAAAGAACCAGTTCCAGGAGAACCCTTTTGTGGACCCTTATACCTATAAAGATTTCGTTGTCTATCATCACAGCTGGAGCAGAGGTAATGTCATTACAACCCCAAAGATGGAGATGAGTAATAACATCACCCATGTTGGAAATGGTTGCTTCTTGTTTTTTCTAACATCCTTCAACTCACCTACTCTTTGCATGTCTGCTCTTGTAGAATCTAAATTCTTGTCCAAAACAGGCTTTGAACTTTTGTCATGGGACATCTCTGATGACACCCGCTCAGAAGCAACTTGCTCAGAAAGCTGCTGCTGGTTGTACTTCTCCACATACTCAGGGAACATTTTCCTGAATGTTGCGCTGTATGGAAAATTATCAAAATAACACGAATTAATTGTGAAAAACAGATTATAGAGAGCTTGCACACTTCCATCATGACTAGCTGGTGCAATATACTTACTTCTTACAATTGAAAGAAAGAGAAGATTTTGCTAGACGCTGCTTCTCAGCAGTAGAGGTGTTTACACTGCCAGTGGTTGGACTGTTGTCCATCTGCAAAAGAGAAGTCTGTCACAAATCAAAAGCTCTCAAGAAAACACTACATACATGGTGAACTATCAACCGTATATAACTAAAATTACGTAGGGTATTAAATGGAGTCTACTAACAAGCACTATCTACGACTACCACTTGGGAGTCTACCAACCACAAGAAGTCGGGAAATTGCATTAGCTGTCCTTTTGCTATAATATATACAACAAAGACGAGTAATATTGGCCAGCTTTGGGTCAGTGACATCAAAGGTGAGGGACACAAGTTTAACGCCCCCAATAAATAAATAAAAAAAGCCGATACAAGTGTAATATCTTCTGAGCAAAGAGCAGCCAATGGAGATGGAAGAAACTAGAATTTAATTAGAAAATGAAGAAGCCACAACATACTCACCATAAATGAAAGAAGCCCCGTAAGTATGCTGCATTCATAAATTGGAAACATCAGTATAAAGCTATAAAGTGATATTCTACATCTACTGTTATTCTCAGCTATCAATTCCTTGAGTAAAAGAATATAACCACATCAAAAGTCAAAGGATAAATTGAAAACAAAACAGACTCAAGCACATAAAAGAACTACATAGCTTGTATCAATCGCACCTTGAAACAGACCACATAGGATTCCAACTTTCTGGATGAACTGCAAAAGCAGCAAAACCCTCAACAATATTAAATTGTAATAACATGGGTAACTCATGATACTAATTGATTTGTGCTCCGACAGATAAAAGAACTTACAATCACTCATAGACAAACAGATCTTTTTCTGTGTCATGAACCGTCCATTAGGAGTAATCATGCTACATTATAGAAAGTACAAACTTAAGTCAATATTTTAATAGACCATATAAATGAAAATTAGACTGAACAGCTTATACTGCAGAAAAAAGGATCACCTGATTCCAGGAGGTTTATATGGATATTCAGCAGGAAACTTGATTTTTCCATAGTAATATCCACCTAAAAAACATAAATACCATACAAATTGAGATAGGAATACATAAATTGGGACATTTCAAAGTATCAAAGCACGGTAGAACTGAAAAAGTGAAATGTCAATATGCAATAATCACAATTTACTAAATTGACAAACCTGCAAAGGGTGTTCCTTCGCTTCCCTCCAACACATAATCTGAGACATTGACATAGAATAGAATCAGTATCAACAACTTTCTAAATAATAAATTAAAATTCAGTTGCAGACATCACAATAAATATTTTCCTTTTTTGCTAATATAGTGGTATTAAGGAGGGTGAGCCTAGGAGCAAAGGAATGTTGCTGCATTGTGTGATCACAGGTTCTACAACACTGACAAACACATATATCAAGGGTTCAACATAATTTTTTTCTTCTTTTTGTCCTTTGGAATTCAACATAAATTAATATAAGAAATGTAGCAGTGTGAAACAAACTTACGCCACTCAAGAATATCACTTGGTGAAGGACGAGCCACAATATGAGAAACTGGCTCCTGTAGATACGATGTTAAAATTAAGCATTATTTAGTGGACATAATGCCAACATTTATTTATATTTTTTTTTTCAAAAAGAAAAAGAAGGAAATGGGATATCAAATTATTGATATAGGCCCAAACGATCTACCACAGTAAATTATACAGTGTAGACCATTCAAGCCTACAAATATTAATCAGAAACTACAGTTACATTGTAAAAAGAGGAGAAATGCAAAATATAGAGGATGATGTGTTCCCTGTCTCTCATGCTCTAAATGTTTTATCGGCCACAACATCAAATTACCAATTCAAGAAATATGCACAAATACACAGAAAAATAGAGAGGAACTGGAGAAGCAGTGAGATCAGTAAACATATATGGCTGTAATCCAACAGGATAAGCATAGAAACTGTGAATAAAAAGCACAATTTTAGAAAAACAAAAGATGTTGTACTTACTTTACAAAGGGCTCTATATTCCTTCTGAAGGCGCTTGACGCATGATTTCTCCGCCATTCAACAAATTCCAAACAGTATCAAGAACAAGGCCCCCTACACTTCTATTTATTTATACGCAAAAGTGTTTTTTCCTGCTAAGCATTGATTAAGAACACAAATATCAATAAACTGAATCTGGTATAAAGAAAGTCAGAATAAGCAACCTCTGTAAAATAATAGAAAAGGCTACAAAAAACAGTATCATAATGACAAGAAAATAAATGAGTAAATTCTATGTAAAATATAAGAGATGGTGGAGATACATAGATACGCATGCACACATTCACAATGTAAACTGTCATCATTCCATTTTTAGTATCAACACCATTAATTGGTATGAAGGAATTATTATGAAAGAATTCACAAATGATGTGGCATGAGATCAGGGGCTAAGTCAGTCATTATATTGTCTTTCATGATTGAATTCACAAATGGGATGCCCATCCCATTTGTGAACTGATTCTTTGTACTGATTAGCTTTCTCTTTTTGGATTCCAATATTGTAGAAAATCAGAATGCTTATTTCCATAAATTAGGGATTTGACAATATCCCTAATATATGGAAATACTCATTCTGATTTTGTACATTCCCCCTCGAGTTAAATCCCTAATTTATGGAAATAATCATTCTGATTTTCTACAAATATTTGGCAACAATGATTGAATTGTAATCAATGGGTCCACTCAAAGACAAAAAAGACACCAACTCAGTCAGAGCCACAAGTAACTATATGAATATAATTTGTTATCATTTATGCGATATTTGAGCTGGTAAAATTTGAGAAGGAACTGCAGTGGAAATTAACTCTCCAAATGTTCCCCACACACACACACAAAACCAGGGACTACAAACACCCTAGAAGAGATAGAACACAAACTACAACCTTAAAAGGTTCGAATTATCACAATTCACAACCCTACAGAGACCTGACCATAGTAATATCTATCAAATTCATACAGCAATATATACGCAGTGCTTGAATTTTATGGAAAGTTATTAGAATCAAACTGCCACCAATTTCCCATAAATCTGTTCTTAGGAGTAGATTCACATATCCACATTTCTCCAAACAAGTTAAAAGTAGAAAATCTACTTATGCAAGATTCCTCAAGCATATATTATAAACCACCCCAAGACAACTATCACCGCAGTAGACTACTCCTGTGAATTCCATGAAACCACCAGAGTTGTATACATCCATAACCGACAAACAGCAGCAAACCAAATCCATTCATTTCTCAAATTATACCTATCTACGGACAAATTTTTATTGTACAAAACCCTGCTCAGTCTAAACAAATATTTTTCTGTTCTCAATCACTGCCAGCACAAGTGCAAGCCTACATTACAGTAAAGAAAGTAAGCATCTTGTGAATTCCCCCTTTCAATATTACCCCCTTTCTTAGTTTTCACAATTTAAAATGGCCTGTTAATGAAGTAATTCTACCTAAGACACCCTGATCCACACAAAAATCAGGAAAAACAAAAAAAAAATGGGGAGGGGGAGGAGTAAATTGCTTCTTAGGGTAATGCATTTCCCATTGTTACCACTACGAATTCTAGAATCAACAATTAACCACGAGAAAAAAAAATTGCACAATCAAATAATAAAAATCAAGCCTTGATCAGACCCATCAATAAAAAAAGACACCTCAGATTCAAAAAAAAATAAAAAATAAAATAAAATAACAAATTCAAATCTCTAACAAAATCAATCCACGAATTATTAGACAATGGAAAATCAAAACACGGATAATCGGAAAGGTCGAATTTTCTTTGTCTTCTTTTTTTCCCTCGGCATCCAAACAAGCAGGCAGAGAAACTGACCTGAGATCCGATTTCTGTTACGCCCCAATTTGATTCGATGCAGGAAAATTGGTTGAAAAATCGCAAATTTCGGCGTTAATAATTTTCTGCTTTTTGAAAAACGTAACGGAGAAGAGAAGCGAGGAGTTCCAAAACGACGGCGTTGAAACGTTGCAGAGAAGCAGAGTCTAGAGAGAGAGAACGTAAAGCAGCGTTTCCATTGTTGTATTATTATTATTTGAGCCCTGCTCTGCTGGACCAAGTGTTTTTCACCCACCAACAGCAACCACTTTCTCAACCCTACTTTTACCCTCATTGACTATTTTACCCCTAAAAGCTACATCTCACATATCACAGTTGAGGGTATTAAAGTAATTTAGTTTAGATATTATTTAGATCGATTAAAAAAAAGTAATATAGATTTTGAAATTCTCTCTCATTTTTCCCATATAAGAAATGTAAAATAATTTAATAATGAGAAAATTGTTTCTCCTTTGAAATTATACAAATTACATTCTTTCACTCTCACAAAAAGGTGAATCTTTCTTTATCTATTTCTTATTCTCACTTAATATTACACAGTTTTACATAAATGACACACACTTTATCCTTTAATAATATCATAATAATGAATTATTGGTTACTGCCCTAACTTCAAGGAGTATAATTATATTTTCTGTAAATAAATTAGGGGAAGATATTTCTCTTTTTTTAAAGACACAACCTTGTGTCATTTTAGCTTTTAACATTATGTATTACGGATAATATATAGTTGTAATATAAAAAAAAATTATCTCTCCTCAATCACTTAGCTGAAGTGAAGAGAAAAAAATAAATTTTTTATATTATAATTATATATTACCTGTAATATATAATATTAAAAATTAAAAAAAATATTTTATATCCTTTAAAAAAATACACACTTAACAAAATAAATTATCGTACAGAAATAATCGCTTATTTAGTTACGGTTAATCACAAACTGAATTAATTATTTAATGGCATTCCTGGTCAATGTGGTAATTATTGTAGAACAATTCACAATGGTGCAGGTTCAAATGTTGGTACTAATTGAACTAATTATTTACCTAATTGAACTAATTATTAAACAATAAAATCAATCACTTAAATTAACTATTTCACATGTGATATTACTTTTGTTGTATTTCAACCGTTTGTAAATGGGTTCGATTCCCACACCAATTACATATCATCAAGCACGTCGTTGATAAGGTGTTATTTCTAATCTTATTAGTGATTTTGAGTTTAAGTTTTGAGAATATAATTGTGTTAAAATTTAGTATAGAAAATTTTGATGTCCGTTGATCCTATTCGTCTCAAATTGAATTAGTTAAATAATCAATAAATTGATGGTTAATATTAAAAAAATAATTACTTTCGCATAGATGATTTATCAATAACTTCATTTTGAGTTTAACAAATATTATAGATGATTTATCAATAAACAAAAAAGTGTTTTATAGTTGCAACTTGCCACAACTAATTGGGCTTCTATAATATCTTTGCTTATAATGCCACGTGGAGATAAATCAATATAAAAAATTTAAAAAAAAAAAATGGTGGGAGGTTGTGAAGTGACTTGTTTATTATATCTGCATTTCGTGATTGTGACAATGCATGTGTCATGTATCAAACCATAATTATTTGAAGTATCCAGCAACTGCTAACACCCTTTATTTTTTTGTGAGGAGAGATATTTTGACTACCAAAGTTCAAAAGTATTAACTACCATCTTACTACCTATCAAATTATCATTGGATCAAAGAGAGAGAATGTTAAAAAGTTTTTGGAGAGAGAGAAAATGTTAATCCAATGGTAATTAGATAGGTAGTAAGATGGTAGTGGAAACTTTTCGTAGTCAAAATATCCTCCTCATTTTTTGTAAGAAAAAAAAAATAATGAGTATCCTTGATCGTCCCACGGAATCTCTTCAATACTATGGTTTAGCACATATGAAACTATGGGTCCCAGATAAATAATGATCAACTTCTATCTGTTCTCTTCAAACCCATCTTGTTAAATGAAAATAATATAATAGACAGATTAAGCCAATTTGATTCATTCAAGCACAATCCAATAGTTTCTGCATAATTATACGATTATAACATGTCTGTATGTGTAAATAATATTATGCAAAGTATTGTGAAGATATGACTCCAATAATAGCAAGTGGAACCTAAATCAGGTACCAGACGAACATTGATAAACATGTTATTATTGTATTCTATTAGTGTTACACGACAGATTTCGTTATCAAACTCACCAAGAACTTAAATCTTTTGTCTTCCCTATATTGGCTCTTTTCCGTTTTGACGGAGACCAAGAGGTAAAAAAATAAAATAAGAAACTTTATTGGTGCATCTTTCTGTCTGCCTGAAATGAAGCAAATTGGGTAGAAAATAGTTTATATAAAGCCAATTCCTCAGTGCATGCTTGGATTCTCTCTTTTTGAAGCTATAGGCTACTTATAAGTATAAGTTAGGTCAACTAAATTTTGAAAAAAGCTCTTTTTTATAATAAAAAAAAGCTAAGAGACTTTTTTAAGTTCTTATCTGTTTTTACTTTTTTTTAAAATGAAGAGTTATAAAGATAGAGAAAGATAATTTTTTTGAAATATGTGCTTTTAAATAATTTTTAAGCTAAAAATTATATGTAATAATCAAACCATTTTTAACTTTTTTTTAAACTCTTTTTTGTACTTTAACTTATAAGTAACTTCTAATTTAAAAATAAAGAGAATGTAAATATGAAACCTCAAAGTAGAGCATAAGCTTGCTTTTGATCTAACCTCCATTATGGTTAAAGGTCATCACAATAATTGCAGCACCCAACAGCTTCTCTTGTACCTTTTAGCTTGAAGAAAGTCTTTTTTCTTTTTTTGTTTGTTACTGAGCGCGTGTGTCATGCATGTCTTAAGAGCTTGTTTATATTGGCTTTTTAAGAAAATCTTTTTTATCACTTTTTTATTTTAAAAATATTTTCTATAAAAGTTATAGCTATTTAGATTTTAAAAAAAATATATTTGATTTTTGAAAAAAAAAATTGGTTTTTGATTTCTATTTTTTTTTAAAAGCTAAAATTTTTAGTTTCCGAAAAAAGTAAATTTTTGACGTTTTTTATGATTTCTGTTTTTTTTTTAAAAGCAAGTATCCAAACAGACTTTTTTTGATGAGTGCTTTTTTTATAAAAAAAAAAAACAGCTTTTGAAAGAAAAAAAAGTTCATCCAAACAAGCTCTAACTAGAAATGAGGGATGAGCATTGTATAATCGATATCAACAATTTTATTTTCTCCAAAAAAAAAAAAAAGTTGTAGGTTAAATACATATTAAGTTGACGTGGTCGATCACATGACCTTTCTGAAGTTTCTGTCACCATTTTCGGTTTTTTACCAAATCGTAAGGCCAAGACAACACCAGTATGGAACAGTTATATAACACATGATCCAATGGCATCAAATCCCAATTAGATTTTTACGATTTCAAACAGAACTTACAAGGAATAATCAACAATGTTTCAGTTGGCCCTCATTATATCTCATGATCAACTTCAAGGCTTGACTCAATGCCACAGGCATCTCAATCATAAGAACTAGGGTTGTGAATGGCCAGGCTGGCCTGGCCTACAGCTCAGTCTACATTTAGCCTGTCCTAGTCCTGCCTACGCTGAAAAAAAGAGTAGGCTTAGGTTTATAAGAAAACTTTTTTAACAAGTAGGTCATAGGGTAGTTTTGTCAAGTCTGGCCTAAAGCCTTGTAGACTGACCTATTTAATTTTAAAAAATAATATAATATAATATATTTATCTTAGGTGGAAATCAGTACCAACCGTATATTTTCATAGTTATTTTTTTTTACTATTGTAAAAATTTTAATGCTCACTAGTGAAATTTATATCTCGTGTAAAAAATGCAGCAATTTATAAACACGTTAATGACTTGTAATGTCAAGCAAATATTTTAAAAATATATCACTAGGAAGGCCTGTAGGCCATATAAGACTCTCTAATTTTTTAAAATAGGCCAGGCTTGGTCTATAAATAAAGCATTTAGTAGGCCAGATAGGCTGAATATTTTTTTACGTAGGCTTAGGCCAGAAAGGCCAAAGCCCGACCTAGCCTAACCCATTTACACCCCTAATAAGAACCAAGATCTTTTGGCATCAAGTAAGAGCTCATCATTCCTTAGGGCTTGTTCGAGAGTTATTTTTAGAAGAGAAAGCGAAGAAATTGAAAGGTTTTACTTATACTTTCCTTTTGTAAGTTTAAAAAAAAGGGAAAAATTACTCTTACGTTATATGTGATAAATTTCTCTTATACAATAATTGTAGCACCTTTTTCTTTTCTTTTCTTTTCTTTTTATTTTTCAGGTGGTGGAGTCCACAAGTTTATCTCTATGACATGAGATAATTTATCTTCTTTAACATGAGATTAATAAAACCCTTAAAAAAATGGGGGAAGTATATTGGAGATTTTTGTAAAACTTTCCAAAACTTTTTTCATCTAGTTCCCCCAATTTGGGATTTAAGGGGAAAATATTAGAAATTAGAGTAAATACCCAAATTGGTCCCTGACAAAAAACTCGATACCCAAATTAGTCCCTAACAAAAATTATTTCGTTGGATAGTCCCCAACAAAGACAAACAGCACCCACGTTAGTCCTTCTGTTAGTCCAACATTGACGGTGTCACTGACGGTGCTGAGGTGTAACGTTAAGGGAGATGCTGAGGGCCACGTTGGACCATGAACGACGTCGTCTGGTGAGAGGAGATCCACGTTGGTCAAAATCAATTTGGGTATCATCCATGGAACGTCGTCGTATGCTTTAGGGTTCTTCTTAACCCAGAAAGAAGGGAATTGAATCAAAGAATGAACGTTTGAATTTGGGGATAAATGATTTAGGGTTGAGTGATTGGGATTTACCTTGTATGCTGTAGGGTTCTTCATAGTCTGTAGGCGATGAATATTTCTTCTGGAATGGGGAGGTCAAGCCCTTGTAGTTCATTTGGGTCCGGAAGTGAAAGAAGGAGAGCTGCTCCATTGTGTAAATGTGGGAGGCATAGTGTTGTTTACACCTCCAAGACCATTAGAAACCCAAATAGAGCATCTTTTGGGTGCCCCAATTTCAAGGTGAGGTATTTTTTTTCATGAGTTCTTTGTCTAATATGAATGTTATTAACAATGTGGTTTAATTTGGTGTTAGGAAAAGAAGCCACACTGCAACTTTTTTA